TGATACGAAAATACTATGTGCTCTCTACTCTCAAAGAAATGACTGAATTGTAATAGTAAATTCTAGGACACTCCAATGAACCCTCTTCCTTGCCCCTTGCAGCTCAGTCATGGTACATTTAGGAGCAAGAAAGGAATAATTAGTTCACAATAGTCAGGCTTTGGGCATCCTTTATACAGCAAGAGAAGTCCTCTGTTGTGCCCGCTGTATTTAGGCTTAAGTGCTGCCATGTTTGTTTAAGCCTCCTTATCTCATAGTGTTGCTGGGCTTAATGAAAGCCCTTGCTGAATAAACAATCATACCTAGAGGCGATGTGAACCTCTGGGCCCGTGAAAGGCACTCTTCTGTTGCGGGCTGGGGGGAATCAATGGAGTGTGATGGCTGAGGGATCAATACATCTCTGAATGAATTCCATCGTAAGCGACACCCCTTTGGGATACGGAAGCGCCGACAGGAAATCATTCACGGTTATCAACTGAACAACAGCATCTCGAATGTTCAGGTGAAACACTTGGAATGTAAACCAGCGGTCGTACAAGAAACCATTACAAACTTGTGACCTGTCCAGACAGAAGACACGGAGAATTGGACATTTCCTCATAATTCTCATACAAATCTTCAGTCAGGTAACCAGACCCATCAGCAGACAGCTTCCCTGTGATCCCAGAGAAGCCTTCAGAAATACACATTCAAGCTGCTTCTAATGCTTGTAGCAGAGGATAAAAGCCAGGGGGTGGGGGTGGGGGAACCTTTCTCCTAGACTTCACAGGAGCCAAAAGCAAGGGAGCTACAGAAACCCATGGAAAATGGCAAGATCTCCAAAATAAAGTGTAATTGGAAATGTAAGGTCATAACTGTATGAAATTATTTCTTAGAAATATAAGAAACTAATGGGAAAATTACAGAGTACAGTCCTCAAAGTAATCTAGTTCCAAGAGGCAGTGATGGAAATGGGAGGCTGAAAGGCCGTGGACCTTCCCTGCTAGGAGAATAAATCTCAACTAGGCACAGACTCCATCCTCTTCTCTTAGCTCTAAGCTGCTTGGGAAAGAGGTAAAAAGCAGAAAACTGCTTGAACTGCATGGCTTCAGCAACAGCTAATCAATGCAAAATATGCCTTTAAACTGCATGAGAAATGATTCAGAGGGTGGATGTTCCAACATGCATAACGTGCCTTTCTGACCTTCCAGTGCTGATCCTCAGCCCCTTCATTTACCTCCTCGGTCTCTGTCCCAAGCCAGGACCATCCTTAGTGACGAGATCCAGGAAAAAGCTTTAGGTGAGTATTTAAATTCCTGCTTGAATTCCATTATTCCAAAACACCCTTGGGAAGCCCAGCTCTGTATGGCATTTTGGTGGGAGATGCCACAACACAAAGACGAGTAATTAGCCAGAAAATCGGGACAAATAACTGCCTGTCCCCACAACCTACCCAATAGCAGAGCTGTTGCTATAGAGGTGTTAGCACCTACAGTTTTTTTTTTTAAGTCAAATTGCTGACTTAACCATTCAGGCTTAAGCTTCAGCTAATCGATAGGAAATATGTCCTCATAGGGCCCGCAGACCCCGAATTGCTGGCTGCTCACTATATGAAGCAGGTCATTACAAAGCACAAATGATAACATTTCGTCTTAATCTCATTTAGAATTATTAGGAAACGATATTACATTTTAGAAAATTTATACATCTCAAAAAAAGTTTATACATCTCGTGTACTTCATGAATACAATTTATAGTTTAGACTTTAAGCACAAGATCCCATTTTTCTAATTTGATTCTAAAAGCATGGTGGTTAACAGTGCAAGTCAGGGAATGAAGTTTTATTGGACCAGAGTGTCCCAGTGTCTAAACTCCCCTCTGGTGAAGACCTGGGGCCCATAGAAAGTTATTTAACTCTTTCAGATCAGGAAGCTACTTCCTTTTAAAGCAGGAGTTCACAAAAGTTTTCTGTAAAGGGCCGGATAGTCGATATTTTGGGATTTGGAGACTCTGCCATTGCAGCAAAAAAGCAGACATATGTGGCTACATTCCAACAAAACTTTCTTTATAGACATTGGAAGGTGAATTTCATATCATTTGGAAGTGTCACAAAATATTTTTCTTAATTTTTAAAAAGCCATTTGAAATAAAAACCATTCTGGGCTCACAGGCCAGGCAAAAAACACACAATGGACTGGACTTGGCTTGGAGGCTGGAATTTGCTGACCTCTGATGTAAAACCCAAATCAGCAACTTCCCTGGGAAATTGAAAGAGTCTTCAGTTTCTCAAAGTTCTAAATTCTAATCAGAAAGCTTTGAAAGATTTAGGGGCTTTATGTTCAAAGCTCAGCAGTTTACTTCTGTGAATGTGTGAGTTTGGGAAAAAGAGACATCATTTTTGTAAGTTCCAGTCTCAGACAGAGGTTTCTCCTCAGCCTCTCCCCTCCTCCTTTTCTCAGCCCCTTGCCTTTACCTCCTCTCGTTCTTTCATTTTTTTTTCCAGGAACCACGATTTCTTTTCATGTCTTTAGAATTCAAGAGTGGTATCTGGAAACTCATTACCAGTATTTATTCCTGACCTAGAATCTTCCACTGCCGTGCCTCCTAGAACTGCCCACTGTACTTAAGTCCATTCCAATTCTGCGGTAGTTTTACTTCAACACAGGATGTTTTCACATTTTTATTCATACATCCTTTCGGAAATGACAAGAACATAAAGTAAAACCTTTCTCAGTCCTCTTTTCTTTTCTTTTTTAAAAAGAATTCAAACTCTTTGAGAAAACAGATCCCGTCTACAACACATCGTCATTTATAATGCCACCCATAAAGCCATCGACAACACTAGTAGTTACACTAAAGATGCTATGATGAAAAGCACTGCACAAACTGTAAAGTGCTACATGCAAGTGTTAACCACTGTCGGTGGTATTAGCATGCCAAGTGTCAAGGATGCAAACTTGTCAATGTGAATTTCTGTGAAAGGCCAGTGTTATCACTGGGCTACTAGAATTGTTTCCAAGAGGCAAATGAAGGGCTGCTCTTATCTAAAGTGCAACACCTGGGTTATAGACTCGATTACAGCTCTGTTTCTGCTGATGACTAGCCGAGGACAAAGGGCAGGTCACCTAACTTTCGGGAGCCTTCGTCCTCATTTTGTAATATGGAAGTGTTTGTAAAGATTCTTAAAGATCCTTTCATGTTACAGTTTCTAAGCATCTTGAGTTGGAAATGATGGCAGAGAAAGAAAGTGAAGCAGAGAAATGAGCAAACAAATAAACGTCTCAAGCGGCTCCTGTCTGGTTGTCGCTGGGCATGATGGGAACCGAGGAGGCACCTCCCTGGCACAGTCAGTTGCTTCATGTGACCTGACCGCTTCGTGGTTGCCAGTCTTTCCAAAATGAAATTTAGATCTTACTGAGAATTTATGACTATTTATTACATGTCTGAAAGGTTAAGCACAGTGCAAGTCCCAGACAAGACAAAGTCAATAAGCCCTAAGGTGGTTTTACAGAAATACATATCTCTACGAACTGCAGTATTTGAATGCCTTTGGCCAGGAATAAACCCCTTCAGGACAAAAACTACTTCCAACAAATCATTCAGACAGCAACCGTCTCTGAGAGTTTTTTTCCCTTTAACTCTTCTTCATCTTGAACTCCAGGCAGTTTCTCCTCCGTTCTCTTCCCCTCTACTAGGCGAATCTTAATAAGTTGCATATTTTTAACAGTTCCACGCTCCCTGGCTGTCTCGGCTTAGTCTGACAAGGTCCAGCACGAGCGCTCCATATGTGAGGGCTAACGGGGCCTTGGGGCTGCCAGGCATGGCTCTTGAATTTGTACACAGCTCAAAAGCACTGCCTAAAACCCACGGGCAGATAAACAACAGGAGAAGCATGTGTTTTCAGGTTTGTTCCCTGGGCTGGGGGGAGCAGGGGAAGCTGGTTGTTTATAGAACAATTCATGGTTACAATTTTCAATGGTTGATTACTTGATTTCTTAATCCAGCGCCTAATCACAGATCAAACACAGGTTCCAATAATGAAGTAATTTTAGGCGTGATTATAAACAGTCTCCTACTGAGGGCTTTTGCCTTGGAACAAGGCGCTCTCATCCCATGCTCAGCGTAGCATGGACCAGAAGAGTGATGGCACTGCAGCTCTTCTGCCCAGACAGGACAGGCGTCTGGACCACGACAGTGCCTTCTTTTCCACTGTGTTTGTCTCGGTGTGGTCAGTGCAGTAATGGTGGGGAAACACTCGTAAGGACCACAGCATCAACGCACTCCCTTCCCCTCTCTGCTCTTGTGCCAATTTTATCTTTGGACAAAACAGCTATTTCGCCCCACCCGTGCTTGGCTCCTTCCTGCCTCCCAGGTCAGGTCTGCTCCTCAGCAGGGACCCTTCGTGACGAAACCCAGCCCTTACACGTCTTCTAAACACCACACAACTGCCCTGCCCAGACCCTCCATGCTTGTCTTTGCTTCTGGGCTTTAACAAAGCTGCTGCCTCTGCCTGGACCGTCCTGCCCCATCACCTCCTCCCAGCAAACTCCTGCTTCTCTCTAAAAACCTACAGTCGTTACCTTTTCTGTTGTGTAGGCTTCTCCACAGCCCTGGGCAACAGCAATCCCTTCCTCTTGGCTCCATTTTGTTCAGATCTGATTATATCACATTGGATCATAAGATTTCTCTACACATTTCTCTTTATTTCCACCCTTTGTGGATTGTGGGCACACAATCCACAAAGGTATTTGTGGATTTGGAGACTCTGCCATTGCAGAGTAGGTGGACCGTGTTTCATCTCAGCGTTTCCCCCACCTCCTTCACATACAGGTCAGTTGGCACTCAGCAAATGTTTGCTGAATGAATCTGGGTGGCATATAACTATTTAGTATGCCATTGATTTATAGCAGAGGGAGTCACAGAACAATCCTCTTGTGCAGGAGTGGAAGTGACTTCAAAGCGTGGTACAGTGACTACCTATTCTTGGCTATATGGGTGATACTGTCTTTCTTCCTATGTAGGTGAATTGCTCACATGATAAGCATGGCAGACACCACGGCAGCCCCGGAGGGACTGACCCCAGGAATAGGTTACAAGTCATAGTCACTTTCAGGAACTAGAGGGTTTGAAGTCTGTCACCGGGACATTTGCAGGCAGAGCTGGCTTCAGAGCAATGCTCGAAATGGGAGGAGCATCCTGCCAAGACATCCCAGCCGTCGGCTGTAAGGTTCCTGGAAGCCCATGTTGCAGAAGTGACCTTCCTACAGTTTGCAGATGGCAAAGGAGGACGGCAGTCACAGTGGCTGTGTGTGAATGGGCTCTAGGAATACAGGGTTTCAGGGAAGACGAACATTCTCTAACTGGTGTTTAGGGAAAGATCTCGGGAGGACAGAGCCTGAAGGAGGAGCAGTGTAGAAGAAGAAAGGCTTTGAACTTCAGAACCACTGTTAAATAAAGGAGGGGAAATAAAGGAGACGAAGGTTGAACTCAATTAAAATCATTTGGGGGATCCTCATTAAATGTAGTTTTTCCCATCAGCTGAGTGTGAACTATATGAACACTCCTAAAGTCATTAAGATTTTGCTTAACCCTAAGGATAGCTTTTGGGTTTATATAACCCTTCCAGTGTCTCTAAAAGAGGGATTTTAAAAGGGAAGTGATCTAGTTAATACGCAGGGATTGTCTTATCTCCCAAGGAGAACTAAGGTGGTCTCAGCCTGCACCTGCCCAACCCTGCGGGCACCAAAAACCTGTCAACCACATGTTTAACATCATGTCACAAATTGGGACTCAGGAAAAGGGTCTGCAATGAATGCACAGGTCTTATTTTACAACCATGTTCCCTGAAGAAAACTGAGCCAGCCATCACAACAGTCAGCCACGTGTTTTAATGAAACCAATTGTTCAAAAATAAGACTTGTGCCCTCATTCCACACACACTGACTGAAAACCAACTGGGTTTTAGGGAGTAGGCCAGACACTAGAGACACAAGGATGAATGAGACAACAGTGCTGAATTCGACAGCACACAGTCTAGTAAGGGATGCGGATGGTTAGAAGATAACCCATCTCCTCCTCCACTTGACTGCAGCTGCTCTCTTAAAAGATCATCAGTGACTGGCCAAGTCCAGTGACCTCTTTTTAAGAATCAGACTTCTTGGAAATCATTCCTGTGACATTTGAGGAAAGACCTGATTGAATTTAAAGACCAAGCCCTGCAAGTATCTAGAAGAAGAGCTTTCCAGGCAGAGAGAGGAGCAAGTGCAAAGGCCCTGGGGCAGCAGCAGGCCTGGTATATTTAAAGTGAGGAAAGGAGTCTGGTTCAAGTAGAGAGGCATGGGCTCAGGGCAGAGCAATAAAATATGAAGTCAGAGAAAAAACAGGGGCCAGACTGTGCAGGCCCTTGCAGGCCATGGGGAGGCCTTGGTCCTGTATTCTTTGTGGGATAGGGGGCCACTTTAGGGTTTTGAACAAAAGAGTGACAAAATCTGAATGAACATTTTCAAAGGATCATCACCTTGGTTACTAGGTGGAAAACAGGCTGTAGGGGACCAATGGTGAAAGCAGGGGAACCAGCCATGAGTCCTTTATAGTGGCCCACGTAAGAAATGATAGTGGCTTGGATGAGGACAGCAGAAGAGATGGTGGTGAGAGACGGTCAGTTTCCAGATAGATTATGAAGGCAGAGTAGATAGAATTTGAGAATGGATTAGACACAGTCTGGGAGAAAGAAACATGAAAGATACTCTGAGAATTTCGGCCTCTGGAAGCAACTGGAAGGGAAGAGTTGCCACTTACTGAGATGGGAAAGATTGTGAGGGAACAAGTTTTGGGGGAAAGTCGGGAGTTTATTTTGGGGTAGGTCAAGTTTGAGATGTCAGTTCAGCTTCCCAGTGGAGATCTGGGCTGAGATGTTGGTTATACAAGTCTGGAGACCAGGGGGGAGTTCAGGCTGGAGATGTACCTGGAAGCCAAGTCTGTCCCCAGTCTTTCAGCGTTCTCTCCAAGCAGGCTCCACGTGACCCAACTGACACCATCAGCCACTCAGTGTAAGAACAAGCTTGCCTGAAGCCTGGCCTCCTCACCCTCTTCCTCACACACCATGCTCACTCCGGCCTTCATTCTCAGGACTCACTTGGCCTGCAAAATGGGGGTTCTAGTGATGGCAAGAGCTGCTTAAGAAAGTACCATAATGATGGGTGCTATGTAGAGGCTGTTATCCGGATGTGCTCTCTTTCACTGAAGAAACACGCTTTTGATGAAGTTCCTTTTCTTCCAACATGTACTAGCATCAGAATATGAAGATCTGGGTAAATTCAAAAGGGAGTCCTAGATGGCTCAGAGACCAACCTCCAATCAAATGCACCTGGAGGGAGACCTACCATAAGGCCAAGTGCCCTCAAGCTAAACTCTTGGCGTGTTATTTTAGGGGGAGTTGGCTAGCTGTAAGCAAAGCAAGAAAATCCCAGTGTTTTGTTTCTTGCAAAAAACCATGAAAGTGAAATCCAGTCTGAAGCCCCATCTTTTTACCACACTAGGTTTGTCTTCTCGGTACAGAGTTGGCTCCTTGCTAAAGTCATTTGCTGGCTGGGAGCTAGACAAGTATTAATTATTCTCATCAGCTCCCCAACCTCGCAAACGAGATTCACAAAGTTTAAAAGAGATAAAATTTGAAAGCCTGGGGAACACAGTATGCTCCAAATTACCCACAGAGCTTTAGAAACACAGACAGATATCCAGACAGAGTTGGGCAAAAAAAAGCATGTAGGTGATTTGAGTTTCTTCAAGCGGTAAGAGTAGCCACTCTCTCCACACCCTTCCTCCATAGAAGGTTCTGTTGGGGGAACTAAGTGATGGTTATACGGACAAAGCTTAGCATCTGGGTGCTCCTTCTATTTGGGTACCAGAGGTTATTTACAGACCCTCACATAACTACTCTTCCGAGCCTGTACAGGAAAGAAAGGTGGCCAGACCAGTTAGAAAACGATTCAACAGTGGCCCCCAGAAGGCTAAGCCAATGCCAGGCAAAAGAAAGCTGCCAATTCCTCAGATTGTCATGGCCCTATGGAAAGTGAGGAGATGATTCTGCGGATCTGGCTCGTAGGCTTTGTGATTCACAGTCCACTGTCCACCCTAATAGTGGCTTTCTCCTATTTTTGTTAAACTAGTCGATGAAGGTTTGCAGCAGTCTGTCTGTCTGTTTGCATGTGCTGGCCTGTGTATATTTTTGATCTCCCCACCTGCTTGGCCTTTGCATTTACCTAGCACCCAAAAGTAGAATTAGAGAGCTAGTAAATTCTACAGAGTCATCTTCTAGCTCACCCCCTCATTTGACAGATGGTGAAACTGAGGCCCAACGAGACCTAACTAAGGGCTCAGAGTGAATTTTACAGCAGACTTGGCTGTATTTTCAATTCTCGGTCTCTATCCATCTCTGACTCAGCCTCTTGCTACTTTGTCTGTCTGTCTGTCTATATCTCTGCATTTCTGCTCGTCTCTGTCTCTGTCTCTGTCTCTCACACACATAAGCCTTGGGAAATTAATCTTGGTCTGGCACGTGCCTTACTTTTTCAACATTTCTCACGAACGATCTTATTATCCCTATAACATAACTACTTTGTAGACCCCCATTAATTTACTGCTTTGCCTCAGCGCCAAGCTTTGGCCGTGCCTTGGTAATACCTCCTTTTTTGCTAAAAAGGTCAAACTAAGCACCTTTATTATTCCACAGATGTTGCTTTTACCTGTGGGATTATTAGAACCAGGAAATATCTCAAGGGTAGTTTCCTAAATTAATTTTTATGATACCTCTTTTACCTCAACATTGACCCTGACCTTAGAGTATTTGAAATACTGCGCATATTTCCCCACGGCAAATCGAGAATGCATTTTTAATTTGATCCATACTTTTCTGATGTAACTTGCTGATAGTAAAAAAAGAAAGAATATCGCTTGCTTTCTCATCCCCAATTTAAAGAATAATGCTCTCATCTATTGCAGATTATACACAAAATAGCTTTCAACTTGAAAAGTCAGCAAAACAGCGAGAACACTCACTAGAGGTTTGACACACTCTGGAGAACGTGACTTGCCACTTTCTGTTTTCTTTGAAGCTTTATGAGAAAGGAAATGAGCATATCAGGCATGATGGATAGGGTTTCTGGTTAGTTGTCTGTTTTAGATTATAAGCTCCCAGAAGACAGGGCTATCTTAATCCTCGGCTCAGTGGCTATTTGGTGTCTGAAGTAAACAGGCAATGAATCTGCTTTTGGCTCAGCTGCAGTTGCTGCAAGAAATGGAGGTGGTGTTGCAAAAAGAAAAAAAAAAGAAAAGAAAATCAAGGCTAGGTCCTCACAACAGGTCAGCTGAGGGTTACTCTGACCCAGTCCGCTTCTGCATTCAAGGAGAAACTCTAGAATATTCCCTATAAACCCAACTTAATTTTGAAGCTCGATTTCCCCATTCCACCAGACTTTTAAAAAATGGCAAATAGATTTAATATGTATGCACGTGAATCACACCAAGGCTGCAAAGAGATTTATTCCGGGTCAAGAAAATGAACATATCTGCCCCATCACTTGCTATAGCAACCCACTGCATAGTTCTCTTGGTAGTTTCTGACCCAACAACCTCAACCTAGTGCAGACTCCTTGAGGTTCTATCTGTGTACCTATATATAAGCGTGCACCATATTCCATCACACATTTATTTCTGTCTCCGCAATTTAACTAGGAGTACCATAAAGGCAGCACCTTTCTCTGATTCACCTTTGTACCCCAAATCTTGGCCCAGAGTCTGGCAGAGCAGTTGCTCAAGTAAACACCTCTAGAGCAAGCAGATCAATGCTTCTCAAAGATGCAATTAAATGGCAATCATCAGCATCGTCTCATTCAACAAAACCATCTTATTAGCTCTCCTTTACGGGGGACACAATCAACATTTCTAGGACATATGGAATCACTAAGGAGAAGTGGTGGAAACCCCGTAAGTTAGCCCAGGAAGGGGCACACAAAGGCTTTTCAGTTCTCCTCTCATGGCTTCCTTTGTCTGTTCATCTTAATGTTGTCGCTTATAAACATTTTCTTTTTTCCCCAGACTCAAATTAATTATATCTCATCAAAATGGTGTATTAACATGCTACAGATTTATTTGATACAAAATAGCATAATTGAAATTTCACTTTATCTGAGCTATATAATAAAATGAAAGGACTAAATTATAAGCTGTCATCACCAAATTTCGTGCCTCACAGCTGTATTACATAGTATGGAATATCTCAATATTTATTTTACATCCCACTCCCAATCCTAGGATAATTTTTTTTACAAAGACAACAGTTAAAGTACATTTGCCAATGATGACAAGGACTGACCAGAATTATAGAGAAGCAGGGAAATAGAGATGGTGCTGTTGATAGCTAAATACGCCTAAATAATCATTGAAGGACAGCATCCACTGTTGGAGTCTTTTCATTGCATTTAAAAACATAGAAGTGCACAGCACTACTCAGCATAGGATGTGCTTTTATTGGCACTCAAGAATATTACATTAAGTAGAGATAACTTTCATTTGGGGCTCAAACCATTATCAATCGATTTGATCTTCTCTATTGAGGAGACCTGGCTTCCTGTCATTTTTGATGTTTCCAAAAATCAGATACACCCACAAAGGATAAAATTTGCTCCCACTGAGTTTATTCTAAAGACTACACATTCCCTGTCCAGCACTCTGCGTGTCTCTTTCACAATCCCTATCACAATCTGGACATGCTTTATTGACTTGCTTACTTTGGATGGTCTGTATCCACCACCAGAATGGAAGCTCCCTGAGAGCTTTACCTGTCTACTTCAATTGTCAAATCCCTAGCACTACAAATAGGGCTGGATGATGGTAGGTGCTCAATAAATAGATCTGAGATGACTGAATGAATTAATCAATTACTAGTGAATTTTCAACTACAGTCCTGGATGATCACTAAGTCGGAGGTCCTCTCCCGGTTCCCCCAAGTCTTTTGATGGCCATCACCTGTTTCCTTCAATCTCAATATGACTCAGTGCCAACCACCTACGATTTCAGGCCAGGAAAACTGAACAGGAGTGCCTATGGCCAAGATGTGAAATACCTCCCCCAGTAGAAGAGGAAATCAGAGACCTTGTGCTTGTGGTTGTGCTAGGACAGGTTGAGAAAGAGGATAATTCCCTGGTTATTCTGCTTTCACTCTGCACTCAGAAACACTCATGGCTTAAGACGATGTTTTACGATCTCCAAGTATTAAATCACATGACTCTTCAATGATAGAACATTGCATGGTTTTCAGAGAGTCTTCATTAAAAGCTCATATCCTTGCATCCTATTTCATTTTCTCATAAAACATACCAGCAATTATAATTATCACTAATTAATTTTGAGGCTCTCTTAGTTTATTTCACCCCTGTGAATTTCACAAAAATCCTCAATATTTCCCACGTAACCAGAAATTAATTCTCATTAATTAGTCAAGAAAGGTTACTTGCGCAAAAGAATATCCCAGTGACCACTTTCCCCTGAGTAGGTTCAGAAGATAGGCTATCGTCTAAAAGGTTTTTGTGAGTCACATAATGTTCACTTCTTCCCTGTAGCCTTCTTTCCTTTTCATGCAAACAAGCTGTAATGGGCTTAAGAAACTCTTTATTTTACCTCATGCATCATCTATGATATTGGCAAGTAATTCATATGAAAAAAAATAGGAGAAAGACTATGCATGGGCTCCTCATAAAGTCTTACATGCATTTATATATTAATATAGAAACAATCAGTAAAGACCATTTAAAGGTCCATTTATGCCAGTTTAGAATGACTCTGACATTCCATGGCTGTACACGAGTAGCTTTCTTTTAGGGCTCCTGACAAATGAACAAGAGCTCCCGGAAAAGAGAAGGTAAACTGTGCCTGGCGGCAAGCAGAAATCAAGTTGAAAATGGCACAAGCCACGAGAAAAAGACCAATGTGCTCCCCAAGGCCATTTACACGTGGTTTCTGGCATACCCGCGGCCAAAATCATGAAAGGTGAAAACTCTTCAAACCACATCAGGCCTTGATGAAGCCCCCTTATAATTCCAGCATCTGGCTGACAGGGCGATGCTGAGCTGTCTGGAAAATCAATGGAGCAAACTGAACGTTCAGCCAATGAAAGCGAAGGGACAGGAAGCCCCATGGGGCCACAATGACAGTCATTTTTTTTTCTAGGTGCAATTTTCCGATTTCAAAGAAGGATCATTTGCCAAATAGGAAATATTTCAACTCTGGAAAGGGAACAGAAATAATCTATTAATTTCTAATTTGTGAAATAGTGCTCTCCATTTTATGTGCACCTAGGATCTCCTGTGATTTATAGCTGCACTACGAATGCCCTGGACAAGACAGTGAGACCGAACGAATGGAAGATTGCAGAGGAAAAAAAAGAAAACCCATCTAGAATAGTGAAATAGAAAGATAAGGGAAAGGCAACAAATATACCTGGAAAAGGATTCAAAGTACTGAGAACTTAAAATAAAAGGCATTTAAATCTTTTGATGGGGAAAGGGTTAGAGCTGTAATTAACAAAGAGCATTAAAGGGATGATGTATACATTTAACTGGGGATCCCCAGTCTATAGCCACAATCCTCCCTGTCTTCATTTATTTCAACTGAATCTTGAGTTTTAGCCTCGATTTCCAACCCAGTGACTCTCTCCTCTTTGTGACCTTGTACTATCAGCTGGCCCCAAATCCTCAAAAATAAATGCATTTTACCTACTGCTAAGGGGTTTTGCTCACTTCCACTGATAAAATTCTTTGAGAATCATGAATTACAAGTGCTGTGAACAGAAGTAGCACCAAGAATGAAACAGCAAAAGCAAGCAAAACTCCAGTGAGAATAGGGAATTCCAAATCAAGAGGCCGGACAGGATGCAGTTGACCTGGGTTCTTGTCCTGAGTCTGCCACAAACTAGCTGTGTGTCCTTAGGCAAGTCACTGTCTTGGTGAGGATCTACTTTCTCACCTGCACAACATTCCGCCCTTTCAAATTAAAGCCATGCAGGAATTCCCTAGGCTGTCTTCCTCACCTCTTTCCATAAATCCTCTTCTTTCATGTCAAGACCCTGTGATGATAAATCAGACATGCCCTTCTTGGAGTTTCCAAACACTCTTGGATCCTCTCCTTTAGACTCCTTTACCACAGAATCATGCTCCACTTTTCAATGCACTTTCAGAAGATTGATTTCCTAAAATCTAGTCATGGAGCTGATTGTTGTGTTTCAAACACGGCCGAGTATCTCAATCAGAAGGGGAATGGTGACAACATAGAATGGAGTTGCAAAGGTACATCAGACTTTCTATCTCTTCCACCTTCTCCAAACCCACCCTTCCTGCTTCCCCATCTTCTCCTGCAAAGAAAGCCCAGTGCAGCAGACAGAGGAAGGTGTGGGGAAGGTAGGCAAGGCAAGCTTTCCAACTCCCACTTCAATTCCTAACCGGGATTTGACTAGATGCTGAGGTAGGCAGTACAGTGATGGCTGGAAGAATCTTGAGTGGCCTTCTAAGAGTTAAGATGCTTTTCTCGGCACTCAAGTCACCAGCAGGCAACACCTCTGCCATGCCATTTTGAATCCAACTTAGAATGCCTTCATTCATTTAGGGGTATTTGATTCTTTCTGATGATTCCCCGTGGGCAAGCCGAAAAGACAGTGGACATTCAGATAGTCACACAGAAGACACTGACAACTGCATCTTTGATGCTGAATTGATGCCCTCGCTGGCACAGGTTAAAACAAGAAGCAATGCTTTAACTTCTTGTGACATTTACAAGAATCGTAAAGCTGGCTTTTGCTGGAAAACTTATGCTTAATCTAAGCAGTTCGGATAGACTGGAAAATGTTCCTACACATCCACTTTATAAAATTAAACAGAATGTTGGAAAAAGATCTTGGCCCGTGTCTCTGAAAACAGCTAATTGTACCACTTTAGAGCTAGAAAGAACCTTCGGGATTAGCTACTTTGAACACTGGTTTTTAGAGAGAAGTGCTAATGTCTCAGGTCACATAGCTTATTTGTAGCAGAGAGACTCTGGTCTTTTGATTCTCAATCTGGGGCTCTTCCCACTACAGAGGTGGACAAAACCAAATGCCACAATTACTAACCTTTAATGCTTGTATTTTTCTTTCAACAGGTAATTTGTCTGCGACTTTTGTCACAACAAAAATGCAGTGAGTAATCAACTGAAATACCCCGCAGGGATCAGTAGACCCATCTATTCTATGACAGACAAGCGGGTGAATCTGCCAAATTCTAATGCCGACAAAGATGAGAATATGGAACAGGAGTTTAATAAGGAGCACATGTTGGGTTATACTTCAGGACTAGCTAAGGGGAAGTGGTCCTAATGATAAAGCGGCCAGAAGGAGCAAAATTAGAACTCGTACTGGAAAGTATGAAATAGACAAAACCAAAGGGTCCAAGCAAAGTGTTAGTGACATCTGTATAAAATCAATAAAAGCAATGTGCGAAATTCACCTTGATCACTTCCCACCCATCCAGTCATTCTCCATCCACTTTTATTTTTTTCATATTTATCACTCTCTGAGATTAGCTTGTTCATTTACTTGTATATTTGTTTATTCTCTGTTTCCCTCCAACCTGCACGTGCACACACACACATGCCCTTAAAAAACACAAGGACAGAGACCTTGTCTGTCTTACTGTCCCCAGTGCCTAGAACACTGCCTGGAACATAGTAAGTGCTCAGTAGATACATCTTGAATGAATAAATTTGAGAAAAGTAAAAGAAGTTCGGCTCTAACTTTTAATTTTTTTTAACGAAGGTATTGGGGATTGAACCCAGGAGGTTAAGATGCTTTTCATGTTAAGCATGCTTTTTACCACTGAGCTATACCCTCCCCCAGACTATAATTGATGCAAGCTGTGAGAATAAAGACATCCAAGACTATAAATCCAAGGATATTTGTATTAGTCTTACTTCCAGTCAGAAGTATATCAATATCTCTAACTCACTTAGGGCCAATGAAATAGGAACATTAGTCGATAGGTGCCCCATTATTATGAGAGCTTTTGCACCACGAAAGTCCTCAAGGGGGTGCTAGCATAGTAAAAGGGGAGTGGTGCCATCTACATGTCAGAGCAGGAGCTCTGGGGCATCAGGTTTGGTTTTCAAATGCAATGAGGGATCCATGGGGTCTGAAAGCAACTTAGAAGGGGACTTTGAAATTGACCACTGGGACTGAGAACACTTGGATTTAAGACTTGCAAACAAAGGGCCATGCCAAATGTCTAAAGGGCAAGCGGGGGTGCACCCATGAAGGCAAGGAACTCACCCAGTTTTCTAGGTCATTACCACTTGGAAAGTATAATGACCTCTGCATAGGCCATGGGGCAGTAATTCAACTTGGAGGGACTGGACTTAATCTGGGGAAGTTGGGGAACGAGGTCACCCTCCTTCAGAAGGAATATTGTTCTCTGTGCTAAAGCTATAAGCTAGGTCTGTAGTTTCTATAAGAATAGCTCATTTACAGAATTCTCCCAACAACACTATACACATTAACCAAGATGTGTCTATCCCCTTTGCTCTAATTAAGTTTGAGAGTTGGATGTAATCATTCTTACTCTGTCCCAAAACACTGAGAGCCTACTTGAAATGTAAAATCGCAAAGTAATTCAATATTTACTAAATTTAAAGGAAGTAATCAATTTATGCACAGTCTTTTCCCCCTTTAGCACTGTCTTTATTTCCCTCAAGTTCCTCTTTGGTCATTAAGATTGTCAGCAAGGTTACAGTCATTGAACAACTTGTCACAGGCTGCAGATATTTCTAGGCCAAATTAAACTCTCAATGTACTTGCATATAACTAATGAAAACTGTATTAGACACTTACGGGCAAGACTCTATACGTTCTGGATTCATAGCCCATTGCTCCGTAGAGAGCGGGGCATCAAGTAGGTGTTCATCAAATATTGGTCAAATAAATGAAAGAAAACATCTGTCTCCCCTCTGACAGAATTATGTTCCCACATTCACAATCTCAGGCCTATCTGACCCAGCACATGTATATGTGTGCAGTGCTCTCAAAATTACCACATGCTCAGGCTCCAAGTTGAATACGTTATCCTTCCTCTCAGCACAGACATTTGCAAAACCAAACACTTACCCAAGATTCACATACAGGGGGAGGGTATAGCTCAAGAGGCAGAGCGCATGCTTAGCATGCGTGAGGTCCTGGGTTCAATCCCCAGCACGTCCTCTAAAAATAAACAAACCTAATCACCCCCCACCACCAAAATAAAATAAGTAATACAGTAATAAATAACATATTTTTTTAAAAAGATTTACATACAAATTGTCCCAAGAAAGGTTATTTTAAATAGCCTTTCCCCTCAAACATACCAACCTTCCAGAACCTAAAATCTGAACTCAATTTTCATTTAGGAGAGCTGTTCCCTCCTCTAGAAAACATACACCTTTGAAAGGTCCAACTGCCAACTCCTATCTCCAGTTCATAATAATAGACATTCATAGTTTACCTGCCACGCTTTCCCTGGAAAGCTCAGTTTGAACCACTCTCCTAACTTAGACTACTTTTACTTCTGCTCAGACTAATGCCTGGCCCTTCTTCCTTGTTTTCGACTTCTAATACTTCTTGAAGCTAGAGTCCCCCATCAGTATTCCTGACAAAGGATGACAAAAGCCAGACGACACTTCAGCCTCGTAGGATATCCTGCCCTGGAGATGCTCAGCAGGCAACTGGAAATTGGAGTTAGCCTGGAGCTCCGGAATAAGTTAAGAATCGGAGAGGTCAATTTGGGAATCATTAGCGTAGAGGTGAAAGGTGAAGCTGTGTGAGGAGATGAAATTACCCAGAATGAGAACACAGCAAGAGAGGAGATGCAGGTCAATGACAGGACCTTGGAAACTGCTTCACTGAAAGGGGCGAGGGGGAGGGAGAGGCTGTGTGTGTGTGTGTGTCTGCATGTGTCTGTAAAAACAATCCCATAAAGGAAACTTAAGAAGCGTTAAGAAGAAGACAGCAGGTGAACCAAGATAAACTGGGAATGCTTTCAAGCAAGAGAAGATATGGAAAAGTTCCAGAACCTCCAAAGAGTTAAAGACTGAAGCTAGAGAAGCCACTGGATTTTGAAACATGGTGGTCACAGCTAACCTTTGGGCAAGCAGTCTTCAGGGTGCCCCTCTGTGAACTTTGTGTGCCTAAATGCAGATGTGTACAGGTGTGTATGCATGGACTCCAAATGACTGTATGATTAAAGGTTATGACTGAATGAGTCTGGCACTGGGTGTGCCAGACGATGGTGGTAATCACCACCACCATTTACTGACTGTTTACTATGTGCCAGGAACGGTGCTAAACATTTGATATGTCTGATCTCAATTTAATCCCTGTAACAACCCTATAAGGTGTCTACATTTTACATGTGAAGAAACAAAATCCACAGAGCTTAAAGAACTTCCTCAAGGTCACACCGCTAGCAAGTGGCAGCACCAGGATCAGACCCAAGGACAGTTTGATTCTAAAAGCCCCTACTCTCAGTCTCTGCAGTAACACTTCCAGATGCTGGTGTTAGCTGGGGAATCTGCGCATGACAGGAAGGGAGCGGATATAGTGGCTGAGTGTCTCCTATCGCCAAGTGTTCTGCATAGGACGTCTCCTTTCACACGTATACCATCAATATTATGGCTATGTTTAGGTAAACGTTATGAAGGCATATTTAAAGAAATCAGATTCACTTTTTGGAAAATAAGTTGAAGCCATGTGATTCCAAAACAGCCGTAATTCAAGTGTATTTACTACAGTAGCTCCCAAGGGTTTGACAGTTAAAAAAAAAATGCGGCGTCATTGATTTGGTGGTTCTTATGGATATTCAAATTACTGATAAGCAAACTCATCTGAAAAGTGAGGGAATTTGACAGGATGATCTGAAAGGCCTCCTCCAGCCTTGATTTTTTTCTTTATGATTCTTATATGCAGGTCTAATGCCAATAATTTTAAAGGTATGGAATAAGAAGTAGAAAGTAAATGCAGCAACAGAACTGGTTTGTATGTCAACATCCTTTTATCCTTAAAATTTATAGAGGCTGACTGTTAAACTGTTATACAAAGAGTCTTTGGTTATTGGAGGCAATGACTGCTAACTTGAGCAGAAGCGTGGAAACTCCATCACAAAATGATACTGTGAAAATCCAGCCAAATAATTTGCTTGCAACCAACTGCAGACCCTATGATACAACTGGCTATAGGAAAAAGAGAGAGAGAGAGACTGGCAAACACTCTGGCAGTTAATGTTTTTGCTGTCTACAGAAAAACAAATGAGGTTCTGGTCTGAAACAATTAGCGTCGCTATTCATTGTGCATGTGTGTAGCAATAATGCAAGGCATTTGGGATGGTTTCCACTGATTGTTCCCTTCTTTTTCCGGATTAGGAAATCCATTCAGACAACTAAATAATAGCAAGCATTTATGCAAATTGTTAATTATGAGGCAGAGATCATCATAATCTTGTATATTTATAAAATTGAATATACAATGGGGATTACCAAATGAATTGTGGTTTTATTATTTTACTAGTGGTTGAAAAATATGCCAGCCTTGCAAATAGTTTTCATACATCATTCAGTTCACCAGAATTAAAAATGGCCCCATGGACGTTTACCAAAGCCAATTCTTTTCCATCTCACCATTTGTACTCCTCTCTTCCTCTCTCCCAAACTAAGTCCAGGTATAAATTATTCTGATAATCACTGCTGGTCAAACTGATCAGTACCATAGTAAAAATAAAGAATATGTCAAGATTTGCTTTATTGTATAGTAGAATTGTTATAGAGAGATGGTTAGACCATGTAGCAAACTTTAAAACAAAAATAAAACAAAATTCTCCACATTCATCCCATGAAAGCCATTACAGGGATAACAGTCCCTATGTTATTTACCATTATCTTAGTGGTCGCCCACTCCGTTTCATTTAGAGATGAGGAAGTCAAGGCTCCCAGCAGAGATAGGACTTGAGCAAAATCACCCCACTAGTTAGTAGCAAAACCTAGTACTTTCGCCACCATGACCCATCTAATCTACGATGTTTAAATGCCCTTCCATACTAATATTGTGTGATTAGGTGTCTATGTGTGTCTACACCATTTATCTTAATGAATTGTAACCTGACTATGGAATTAAGCCCTGAATTTACTACTTATTATTGGATATCCAATAAAGCCACTGAGGCCCTGATTGGAAAAAGGGAGCCAAACTGGGAATCTAAGATATGGTGGATCTATTCCATTTTAATGAGAGTCTGCACTAGTGGAGGAATCCCAAGGCTACAGCCTTTGCTCCTGCTAACCTATTCGGCTACGAAACAAAGGATGAGATGGAGGAGGGTAGGAAGAAAAAGGAGAGAAACTGGTAAATCTTTCTGGAGCCAATAAGCCGACTATAGGCCAAATATGGTCCTGGTGAGCGTCATGATCTTAGAAAACCATGTGCCAAGCAACTAGAGAGAACATTTACAAGATGGCTTAGGAGTGTCACAGTCTCTTCAGCACTGGTGGCAATATGATGGCACGCCTCATGGCAACAGTTGTTGCCTGCAAAGACACTATCCTGTAGCATTCTCAGCAGCACCCCTGCCCACTCCCAGATAGGAACTTTCCTGTGTTTGATTAGATTTGCCTGGCTGCAGAGTTCATGTCATAAAGAACCCTGGCCTATGGGATTACTCAACCTTGCAAGTCTACGTTACATATTTACCAGTCCTGATATTTTCAAATAATTGATTTCCCTTCAATAAAATGGTGAACTAGTTGTTCCCTAAACCATCATCCAGCCTGGCCACAGGCAGGGTGCCTGATAGCACAGTGGAGAACACTGTTGATGGCGGGGTCTTCCTAACAGAAGACTCTATTGTGTTATCCGATTTCTGCAAAAAGAAAAAGGAGCTACGGCCCAGCTGTCTAGGTTGCTGGCCCTGAACATTCATCCCACTTCTGAGCTAGGTCAGCTTTCAGACCGGAAATTACCTGCCTGGGTAGTTTCAGCTGTTTTCAACTAAAAAAGAGCCCTGGAAAGAATTTGTCCAAGCGAAAACTTAACTATTTATTGTACGGGAATTAAACTGATAGGCAAGTGCAGAATCTATTTATTCTAGCTTACTTGGGTTCAGTTAAACTAAAAATATATTGTCACTTACCTTGCTGCATCTAGAATCTGAAAAATCCTCCACCTGTTAAAGGAACAGTAAAACCAGGTGCTAGCAAGAGCTTGGTAAGAGAAGAGTTAAAATAATAAAAGTTTCCCATTTCACTTTGATAGCATATTTTTTCCAGCTTTCCAAACCACAAGGAAACAGCTCATGGATGGCCCCCCAACTTTGCTCCTCATTAGCTCCTCTCACATAGTGAGGAGATTATGAATCAGAGGACTAGAAGGTCAGGGCAGCGCCGAGAGTCAGACCGCTGAAGGGTCATGGGCTGAGGGTGACAGATCTTCCACTCAGTCATGCTAATTCCATTCCCCTTCAAAAACGAAATGGGTATCTAAGCAAAAAACAAAAGTCAATAAATCAAAAACCAGACCATGCCAAACCAAACACTATGACATCACTAAAATGGAAATGCCTGATGGAAAGGACCTAAGATGAATTTACAGGGACTTTGCATGTTATCGGGAGCTTATGAAACACAAATAACAAAAGGAAAAGAAACGAATGATTAGGCTTTGCTGATGCACTTCAAACAGATGAAAATTCAAAGCACACAGAAAGGGATACATAAATCACTGCTAGTCCCTTCCACCCACGTGCAAGCCATCCATAAAAGTAAACAACGTCTCTCCATTAAAAAAAAAAACATTCAGCCAGTTTCATATAAATATATGTCTTAAGAGTCACAAAACATTAATCCTACTACGTGAATTTCTGATATTGGCGGCGCCCATGAAGTTGTGCAGGGGTCAACTGCTAATGTGAGAGTTCACATGGGCTGAGTTAGCATTTTGTTTTATAGTAAGCAAAGGGTATTATAATGTGATAACACTTTTGTGCCCAAAGAGAGTTCTATGGCCTGTGTATTTTCTTGGGAGAAGTGTTTCTTTACATCAAATGTCTGGAGGCTTTAGAAGTGAGTTAAGGGAGACTTAATAGCACGATAAGCAGCAGAGCCCTCTCCTGCATCATCATTTGAGAAGAATACACAGCTCTTTGATCATCAGTGCCTGGAGTTGCTAAACTCCCCTTCTCTGGTTCTGTGAGCTGTTAAGACTGCTGAGAAGCAAGTGTAATGAGAAGCACAAGTGAGGTACTTAGTAGCCCTGACATCAGATCTGTTAGACATGACACCCCCATTAGCTGACTTACCACCCAGGACCCAGCGTGATCCTCTTCCATCCCAGCCGCAAGAAAGAAGTGACCTAGAATGTTCTGACCTACCCCGTGACTAAGTTTCCCTGCACAGTGAAGAAAGCCGAGTACCCCCTTGCACTGCACTTGGTCTCATGAACAACAACAACAAAATAACACAATTTTGGGTGAAAAATAAAAACAACAACAACAACAACATGAAAACATAAAGCTGTATGTTGATTCTTAGTGCTAAAAATTCCAAAGTCAAATACGTAGCACTTTCCCAAACCATAATTTTACTTTTGCTGCACTAATAGAAATTCTCAAATAATATAAGTATGTACTTAATTGATACATATGGGGACCAGACCAATTTTAACTTTAATTGGGGGAATTACTGCCGCTTGAGATTTTTTTTAAGTTGTATGTAAAGTTCTTTACTGCCTAGGAAAGTTTGCCCAGTGATTGCACTGAGGGGACTTTTGGAAGTCCGTTGCCTTACCTGGGAGTCCAGGTTGTCAGAGGCGGATTATTCAGTGGTGAATCAGGCAGATGTTGCAGATGCACCAATCAAAAGGGTGGGTGGTCATCAGAAGCGAATCGAAGGCCATGGGAAAAAAGAGAAAAAGATGGAGAGGCATACTGATTAGAAAAAAAATTAATTAACTTTATGAATCCATTTTATACATATATACACACACACACTCTTTGGGAAGGTTCTTAAATGGAATCTTTTTAAAAAGACCTTTTAGTAAAAAGAAAGGATAATTACATACTGGGATAGAAATGCTAATTATCACTATAACAGCAATCATAGTACAACATGTAACTGTATCAAATTAACACTGTTGTACACCTTAAATTGACACAATGTTACGTGTCAAATATATTCAATGAAAAAAATCACTCCCCACAAAAAATGTATTATTTATTATGTGACAGGCATTGTTATAGATACTAAGCACACAGCAGTGAATAAAACTGACACAAATCTCTGCCTTCACTGAGTTTGCAATCTTTTGGAAGTTTTTTTTTAGACCAGCTGTTTGGAAAAGAGTTCCACAGAAAGATACTGTATTTTATCAACTCGAGGAAGAAAGTTTCTCTTCCTTTTATTTATGTCTTTATTTATGGAGAACGTATCAACATCTGTCTAAGAAAGGATTCTCTTTCGGATTGGAAGGGACATTATTTTTTCCATGATTTCTCCTTCCGGAAAGTTCCCCCAAAAGACTGTAAGACAGGTTTCTTTTCAGCTAGACCATTTGCTGTTCATAGAACTGTAAAAACAAGAAGTCTCTCCACGGCAGCTTTGTAATGCTGTGGTACCACGTCCTGGCAGAGTTTTTCCCACCGGATGCTACCGCACTCTGAGATTGGATTCATCACCCGTCGGCAAGCCACATCCTGGGAAAGCAACAGCAGTCGGTGGGCAAAAGGGACTGTGGTTATCGTGCCTGTGACCCAGACGCTGGCTGGAGAGGACACAGTAAGAGAAACCTTCCTCTGGGCCAAGGTTCATAATGTGACTAAACAGCTCTCAACTGACAGCTACTGCCTAAATGTCAAATTAGCAGGGAAAGGAGAAGATGAAAATGAAGGGAACATATATGTATCAATGGGAAAAGTGAGAACTGAGGGGGAGATTTGGGAGCCCCAAAACTCCACATGGGGATTCCTGCTAACCAGAAACCTCAAATGAGGACACCTACCCACTGGCATTTCTAGTCTCAGGGGAGGTGCTTAGCGCTTCAGAATTAAAAGTGAAGCTATCGGTTCACTTCGATGTTAAGACTTAGGAAAAACAGGATGATGTAAAATAAAACCTGGGATTCCTGCTTTCTAATCCTGCTTTTACCGACGATTCATTTGATCTTGGGCGAATTCCCTTTTCCACTCTCTCAGGGAGCCATGTGAAATGAAGGATTTTCCCAAGGGGGCTTCTAAAACTCCTCCAGTTGCAATATTTTGTAATTCTCTAATAGCTTTGCCTCTCATTTTGATGCCAAGTTAGCTAAAAGGACAGCAATCTCTAGTCACTTTTTTCAGCACAACATGCCACTAGCAGTTCAGAGAGCCCAGAGCCCAACAGGCTGAGCTTATGAGTAAATGAGACCGTGGCCAAAACAATAACAGCCAAGTTGAAATGTAGCGGATCATCATTCTGTCCAGGGAAACAGCTTTGTTTATTTGAAATCCAGAAAGTCTG